ATTAAAATGTTTTTTTCCGAAGTGATAAAAGAAAATGTTCAGCTAAATTAAATTTAAAGGAGTTTAATTCAGCAATGAACGATTTGAGCATCATGCAGCCCCAGAATCACAGCAGGTTCACAGAGACTCCAGTGCAGCACGTGGTGGAAGATTTATAGCCAACAAAAGGGAAATGAGGTACAGAAATCAGAAGTGAGGTACAGAACAGCTGGATTGGTTACAGTTTGGCATTTGCCTTATTGAACACAGTTTGAAGACTTAGCAGTGTATGGATGGTTGAAGTACCACCACTGGGACTGGCCAAGACTCAGCTATTGTTCAGGCACGTATTCCTAAATTGGGTTTTCAGTCTTGTCTACCTATTAAGCTAGATTGCAGTTTGTCCACAAGAACTCAAATATGGCCTCCTTCTCAGGCCATATTTATTTCACTTTAACAGAAGTTTCAAAGATATTTAGGTTTACAAACCCTCACAAGCACTTTTTATTAACAGTCAGCCTTCATATAGGCACAGCAATGAGATATGCTGGCCAAGCTGCTTTCTTAAAGACCTGAAAAAAAATTTTTTAATGTGATTGAGTAACAAAGGAGGAACAAGTGCAAAATAGGAAAAGAAAGAAATTAAATGAAAGGAACTTTCATCTTGAATGTGTGACAGGTATAATTTCTGAAATACCACTTCCTTTGTTAATCATATTTTACTTAGTTCCTGAAAACAACTGCTTTGTAAATTCTGAAACTAACAGAAGGACAGGCTCCATAATATAGCTGAGATTTGTTATTGAATTTTCTCAGGTTATTAGGGAGGAATTACCCATGAGAAAGGTTTATAAAATATGATCTGAATTCAGATCTTCTACCATGGCTTAATGAATCCAGCTAAGGTATTGTAAATACTCGGAAGCAGAAGTAATTACCTGAATAATAAAGACCCAAATGCTTACTTCATAGTTTCTCATTAATCAAAAGTTTGTTTCCATACAGTGGAAAAGGTGATTTTACAGGTTTTCAAAAAGAGGAGCCTTCAGTTCCATAAAAGGCAAAAGATCTTAAAAAGCCATTTGCACATATGATGCTGTTAAAATTTCTAATCTTAAAAGAGCTTTTAAGGCCGGGCGCGGTGGCTCACGCTTGTAATCCCAGCACTTTGGGAGGCCGAGGCGGGTGGATCACAAGGTCAAGAGATTGAGACCATCCTGGTCAACATGGTGAAACCCCGTCTCTACTAAAAATACAAAAATTAGCTGGGCATGGTGGCGCACGCCTGTAATCCCAGCTACTCAGGAGGTTGAGGCAGGAGAATTGCCTGAACCCAGGAGGGGGAGGTTGCGGTGAGCCGAGATCGCACCATTGCACTCCAGCCTGGGTAACAAGAGCGAAACTCCGTCTCAAAAAAAAAAAAAAAAAAAAAGAGCTTTTATAAACAAATAAGAAAAGGGCCACCACCCAGTAGAAAAAGAGACTTAGGACATGAATAGGCAATCACAAATGCAGGCAGTCAGTCAGTGCACATAGGAAATACAGAATTTTGTTTATAATAAAAGATATATTAATTAAAACATTTTTATTTTATTTGATCAGCAAAGATTAAAGATAATACCCATTGATAGTGAAAGTGTAAGGAAATTAAATCTCAATTTAAGGGAGAGTAAATTGGCACATTCTTTTCATAGAGCAATTTAGAATCATGTCAAAATTCTAAATGTTCATGCCTTTTAACTTAGAATTTCTAGGAATTCTGTACCGATCATAAGTATAAAAGGCATTCATTGCAAGATTATTTGAAATGGTAAACAGTAAACAACTCAAATGTATAATGGGTAAACAAAGTTATTGTTAGTCCATACAAAGGAATACTTTGCAGTTACTAAAAAGCTAAAGAAAGCTCCATATATTTATATATTACATGAAAATATGTCAAAAATATATTGATTAAATATAAAACACGACATAATCTATGCATTTCTTAGCGAAAAGCCTTTTTTAAAAAAGTATGATCTCATTTCTATTAATAAATACATATATACATACACACATGAACATAGTATATAGCATTGAAGAAATCTAGACGTGTATGAAGTTTTGCCAGTAGTTAATTTTCAGGGATAGTATAATGAGAAACTGTCCATGAATTTCTGTAATGTTTGGATTTTATAACCATGTGTTACTTTAGTAATCAGTAGAAATCCAAAGACCTTTTTACATATAAGGTAAACAAAATTCCATAGACTCCCACAAGTAGAGGGGCTGGTGTGAAAAAGGCAAAGTGCCTGGGAAGTATAGAGTGAGGGTCCATTTAGGTTGGATTGTAAAGGGTATGTTGGGGAGTTAACTGTTCATAGTGCTAGAAAAATAGGTTGAGGATTGTATTGTGACCAGGCCTTAACTATGGATCCAAGAAGTTTACACTTCAGCTGGTAGGCAGAGGGGGAGTCAACCGAAGCTTTTGAGCAAGAAAGTGGCCTGTCCAAAGTTTTCCTTGAAGAAAATCAAGTCTGGGAGTAGAATGGTAGGTAGCTGGGAGCAAACTGAAAATAGAAACACTAGTTAGAAAGCTCTTGCAGTAGTTCAGATTTAGGAGTAAGGAGCATGTGCCGTGTGGTCGTGGAAATTAGAGAGGCAAGGCTAGCAGATATAAGAGCCAAATATGGAGGCTAATGGAGAGGGCGAGACAAGAATGCTTAATGTCTACATACCTGGGAGGATATTTGTGTCCTTAATGTTGGAGAAATATGATGATACAATAAAGATTTCATTTGGGGGGGGATTTCGCCCCAGTCTGCCTGTCCAGACTTAATTTCTGTAATAATTGCTTGGTGCATAAATGGGTGCTCAGTATATTGATGGAATTTATTTAAGCTTGTGTTAAGTTTCAGTTATGTGCTCACCATTCCTCGAATATAACATGCATGTTGATAGGACATCACTAATACCAGTGCTATGATGGATGAAGATGGTAGCAGCTACTATTATACACTTTTTTTTTTTTTTTTTTTTTTTTTTTTT